GTCCGGGTTCGAGAGCAGTGTGAGAGAGACGCCGCGCGAGAGAGACGCTCACTGAGGGAGGAGCACAGCCAGCGAGAGGCGGAGCTCAAGGAGCAGTGAGTCTGGCTGTCTTCCACTGTGTAGACACAGTACACACACAGTACACACATGGTACACACACACACAGTACACACATGGTACACACACACAGTACACACATGGTACACACACACGGTACACACACACAGTACACACATGGTACACACACAGTAAACATGGTACACACAGTACACACATGGTACACACATGGGACACACATGGTACACACACATACACATGGGACACACACAGTACACTCACACACACAGTACACACTCACACTCGATACACACACAGCACGCTACAAACTCACACACACAGTATATATATTCACACACGCACGCACACACACAGCACACCCACACTATGCAGTGTACAGTTCAGGCTCACACTCGCAGGCTGTCCTGTGCCCTGGGCACAGTGACACTGCAGACAGACTCAGGCAGGGCCGTCAGGGACAGAGGGTTACAGAGCTGACTCTCAGAGACTGTCGCTGCTTGTGTGTTGAAGGATCGGAGAGCTGCAGGTGAAGGTGCAGAGGGTCACCAGGGAGAAGATGCTCTATGAAAAGGAATTTAAGGTGCCAAAAATGACATTAGATGTTTAACATTGGATTCGCATGAACTTCCTTCAGCACAGCATCCCGTCTGAACGTGTGAACGCTCTCTCCCTCTGCTGCTTTCCACCGGTGCCTCTCTCTCTCTCCCACCCTTTTCTCTGCACTCCTTCTCCCTCCACCCCTCCTTCTCTCTCTCTCTCCATCCTTCACTCTCCCTCCACCCCTCCTTCTCTCTCTCCCTCTCCATCCTTCTCTCTCCATTCTTCTCTCTCCCTCTCCATCCTTCTCTCTCCCTCTCCCCCACCCTTTCCTCTGCGCTCCTTCCCTCCCTCTTCCTCACCCTCACCTTCTCCCTCCATCTCTCTCCAATCCCTTCCTCTGCATCTCTCCCTCTCTTCTATACTTTCCTCTTCTCTCCCTCCCCCTCTCCCACCCTTTCCTCTCTCTCCCAGGAAGTCCAGGTGAATTACCGCCGGTTTGTGGACCTCACCGACTCCAGCCTGCACTCCGACTACCTGCTGCGGCTGCGGCGCCTGGGCCGAGAGCCAGGATTGGCCGAGACGGGGGTCCAGACCGATGATGTCGTGGGCGTGGCCCCGCCCCCTGAGTTAACCCCTCCCCCTCGGGGGAAGAGCTTGAGGACAGACTTCGACACGATTAATCGCCTCTTACCCGTCGCCTACTTTTAAATCACCAAAGATGCTGAAGGCTGCGGTTCACTGGAGAGTTACGCCTGTCGGTTCACTTCGATCACAACATGAACTGCAGCTTGGCTATAAGGAATACAATCTTTCTGTGTCTCCATTGTTGAGAAAAAAACAATCCTTTTATACATGAGAAGATTATCATTTTTCAGAAATCTAGCCAAGGTTCGTACCCCATTACATGTATTGTGTTTGCTCTACTGTTTTCATTGTGTAATGTGCCTTGACAGTGCTCTGTACTGAAAGGCACTATAGAAGAATAAAGCTCATTGACTATTGATTAACTGTTCCCATGGCCTCAGCAGTCTCAGCTCTCACCTCAAGTGACAGGATTCTCCCCAGGTGTCCGCAGGCAGAACCGCTTACCCGGGCTGCAGCGGGCCGGAACCTGACCCGGTGGACAGGGGACTGAGGCACACTGAG